ATGATTCATGGGCTCTGCTTTATAGGCACTGGATTTATGACTCATGTAGGTCAATCAATATACTGCTCCTGTGTGAATACCAAACACAGGAAAACACCCCAACCCAATCAGACACACATACACACACACGAGGAAGCTCATCAATATTGTACGTCACCGTAGCAACTGCAGACAACCTCAACAAGTTGATGGGAGGCTGACAGATGACGCCTGTCGCCATCACACAGTGGACCAGAGCGTTGAGTTTTCACAAAGTGATCAAATTTAGGTTTAGTTTAAGTGTGTGTGTGTGTGTGTGTGTGTGTGTGTGTGTGTGTGTGTAAGTGCTGCAGCACAGTGGAATAATTTCTGGAAGCTTGTTAAGATCAGACTCATTTGCATAAGAGACGCTGTGTAATCAAACTGTGTGAAACCCGGCTGAGCTCTGCCCTCGGTCCCCGGCTCCCTTCACTGCAGTACAGCAATCAAATATAATTACAGTGTGTGTGTGTGTGTGTGTGTGTGTGTGTGTGTGTGTGTGTGTTTCTCTGTATCTGCAGGAGCGGTTTCAAGTGAAGAATCCACCGTCTGCATATTTGGAGAAGCTGAAGAGTTATCTGGATCATGGTGGAGTCAGTCGAAAGGTGCAACCTCCCATTTCTGTTTTCAAACTTTGTTTCAGTTTGGATCTCGATAAAATGTTGTTGAATTCTTCGAAGAGGAAACTGAAACATACATTTTGTCTGTGGACTGAGCCGATTCGCTTTTAACAACAACAACACGACACTTTATTAGTGTAGAAATGTTTGATGAGAGAATTTCAGGCTTCACATCATGTGTCTCACATCATCCAACATTCAGCATCACGTCACAACCTCCTGCATGTGTTTGTCAGTTTAAGAGACGCGTCCAGGAGTCCACTCAGGTCCTCAGAGAGCTGGAGATTTCCCTGAGGACCAATCACATTGGGTGAGTTTTACTCCAGGTACCAGGTGGAGTTCGGACTCAGCAGCAGAGTCACTGAGTGAAAACATGGTTTCTCCTCACAGCTGGGCTCAGGAGTTCCTCAACGAGGAGAACCAGGGCTTGGACGTCCTCGTGGACTATCTGTCCTACGCTCACAGCGCTGTCACGTAGGTACCAGCTCCTCTTTTTAAAATTCATACTGTCAATCCACCTGAGCATGAAACCCTGACTCCCCCCCCTGGCTGTGACCCCCAGGTACGACACAGACTCCCTGGACAACGACTCAGTGTCCACAGACAAAGGCAAAGCTATGGACAAGTCGGTGGAGGATCTGAGCAGAAGTGCCAGCAGCTCCCCGTCCCACAGCGCCTCCAAGGCCAAGACCTTCACTGTCAGGTGAGGAGGGGGAGGGTGTGATGTCCCACAGGAGGACAGAGACAATAACTGTTCACTGTGAAGGACTAAAACACATGACATGCCTCTAAATACAGAAGTAAATGACATTTTTCATTATTAAGACGAACTGATTCATTTGTTTATCCTTCTGTGATCTTCTGCGCTTCATGTTCAACATGACACATAATATTTACTCATGTTTTAGTTGAGCTTCATCTCTGACCTGTGGACGTTAATGTGAGTCCTGCAGCCTGGTTCTGATCTGTAATAATCAACTATACATACGCAGTGTGGACGTGTGGCTCTGTCCTCACAGAACACACACACAGATCCTTCAAACACTCAGAGCTCAGAGCGTCACACTCTGATTCTGACACACAGACTACAACAGCAACAAACTCCTGATCTGATGAGACGCAACACTGATGTAGCAGCTCTGACTGTTTGGATTTGTTATTCAAATACAGTTGGATCAATACAGAGAGCAGACACACACACACACACACACACACACACTCTCAGACATGTTATCTCTGATCTGAGGTGAGGTGCATTCTAGTCATTGTGAACACTTCTGCACGTGTGTGTGTGTTTGTTGGCCTGTTAAAGTGTGAATATGAGGCAAACACACACACACACACACACACACAGCTGCTGTTGTTGTTGCTGTTGTGGTGACACTGAGCTGTAGGAGGACACACAGCCGTAACCACAGCGTTTCTCACCTGCAGATTCAACTCTCTCCAAAACAGGAAAGCTGTGAGGAGCTCACGTGCCGTGAGCCAGAAAGACGACGTTCACCTCTGCATCATGTGTTTACGTGCCATCATGAACTACCAGGTAATTACACCCACCCACCCACCCCCCCAGCATCTCTCTAACTACTGTGGTGACAGAGCGGTATGGAAGGTAGGGAATGGAAAAACTGAGAAGAGTAATTAGACGTAAAGTCTTGTCTCTGAGCTGTGAGTCAGTCATTATTAGGAGATAATACAGTCACAGTTTAGAAGAAGAGATGAAGACAATTGAACTTTAAAAGTCAAAATCAACACTAATTTGATTTTAGTTGTTGTTAAATCACAAGTATTATGGGATGCAGAGTCAAGTTTCTAAGCCACAAAGTTACTCTGTAAATTATGCGCCACACATTCAGAGCTCAGATTGTTTTAGTCATGATGTAAAAAATGAATCATTATTATATCGATGTTATATTATTAGATCAGAAATTAAGTCAAAATTCTCACTTTAAGTAAAAAATAAGTTTAAATTCAATTTTGTCTTTTTTTTTTTTAAATAAAGAATAAAATATATTGGATGAACTGGATGAAATCAAGTCAAGATTTTTAAGATGTAAAGTCAAAAGTCAGACTTGATCAGTTCTGATCAGATCCAACTCATTAAAGACAAGATCATCATTTTGACTTCCTGTTGTGATATTTTGCTTTATACCTCTCACCTAATGTTGACTAGGTCAATATCAATACCTGAGCTGCTGTTTATGTTACTGCTGATTAACTTACTGGCTCCTGTAGCTTCAGTGAGGAGGTTAAATACGAAGACTGTACTTGTAAAATGACAGAAGAAGAATGTGAGAGATGTTGTTGTTCTGGTTTAAATGTGATTATGATCAGTGATGTGTAGGTGTGTGTTTGGAAGTTATGATATATATATCTGTGTGTGTGTGTGTGTGTGTGTGTTGTCAGTCTGGGTTCAACCTGGTGATGAAGCACCCCTGCTGTGTCAATGAGATCACACTCAGCCTCAACAACAGGAACCCAAGGTGAGCGACACGAAATCCGAAGGACTGAAGCCATCACACATATGTAACAAGAAGGAAAACCACCGTAAAGATAACTGTGCTCCTCAGGACGAAGGCGCTGGTGCTGGAGCTGCTGGCCGCCGTGTGTTTGGTGAGAGGAGGCCATGACATCATCCTCTCCGCCTTCGACAACTTCAAAGAGGTACGACGGGTCGGCACAGGTGTGTCACGGGGCGCGGTTCATGATGATAAACAATGGTCAGGTCTGTGCGTGAGGCAGCATCAAAACATGTCATGTGAACATACTTTCAGTTTCAACACCTGATTCGTTGAAGCTTCCTCAAACTGAAGCCAACGTTTAGAAAGCTTTGATGCTTTTAGACACGAGTTCCTTCTCCTCTCAGTTCGACCAAGAGCAGGATCAGTATTTCTGTGACCTTAGAAATCCTTCAGATCAGGATCAGGTTCAATAAAGAGACTGAGTGTCTTTGGAAACTCCTCAGACCTGCTGTCGATACGACCACGAGTGTTGAACCCTATTTTAAGAAGTGAAACCTCAACCTCAAACGCTCTGATCAAAGATTAGTAGTTAACACTTTTTTCCATGCAAGTGCTCAAGTGCTTGTGTCTGGCTGCTCTCACACACCTGTGCATGTGTAGTAGTTCAGCTCAGTCGGTGTTACGTTGTGCGCCGCGGCAGCTGTGACCAGGAACAGTGACATGTGGCCTTCACAGAGAGACACTGGTTCGATGCGTCACCACATGTGGTCATTATTACTTTGACTTTAACTTTGTATTTATGAGAGATTAAGACGGTGATTGAGTTACACGTGTCGTTGTCGGGGTTCGTTGAGACACCTCAGACTCGTCCTCAGAGTTATTTAGGATGATCTATATTACCGGGATGACTCCGCCCACATTCAGACCTTATTTTAAACTGGTCGTGGTGTTGGAGTAACAGCACCCACATTCCTCTCTGTCCTTTAATGCACTGAAAAGCAGGTTAAGGGGGAACCCCAGAGCCCCCCCCCCCCCCGTCAGCTGCTCTGTGCAGTTGTCCCCCACCACCACCACCACCACCAGATAAAACCGACTGAAGAGACGTAAATATGTGAAGCACCCCCCGAGCTGCCTTTGACCTCTCCTTGGCCGTCTCTCATCTTTGCCTTAGAAAGCAGCAACTGTTGCCAACAGATCCCTCGCCCGGGCCGACAGGAAGCGGCGCAAACCTGGACCTGGAGTTTCTATTCTTAGTAAACATCAATGAAGTTGGAAAGCTGCCCTGCAACAAGCCGAGCCCCCCACCCCACCCCACCCCACCCACCCCACCCCCGACTGCGAGGCTGTGGGAAACACACATTTACTTCTGCATTCAGATCTCGATCACTGATGTAGTTTCCTTGTAAGACGCAGGAGCTGCAGTTTCCCGCAGCTTAATGACAGTGAGCGGCTGCTGGAGCTGGAATTACAACATGTGCAAGTGTTCGTCAGGATGTTTCTCCAGCTGTGGATTTAACAAGCAGCTGAAACAGAAACAAATTAACTTGGATTTTTCCTTAGTGAATATAAACTTTCTTCTTCTGTGGAAAAGTGAGAAGAGCGTCCTGCTGTGTCCTGTAGGTTCAGTTTGTTGTGTGGGGACATCTAGTGGTCTTAAAGTGGAAGTGCAGGGGTGAAGTGTGGCCAAGAGGTCGAGGTAGCTGGAGCACTTCATGTTGCTTCCCCTGTTTGACAGTGTCAGCCACATTGTTGTTGTTGTTGTTGTTGTTGTCATTGTAACCACGACAACAAAGATCATTATAAAGCTGAGGATTTACTTATTTTAACCCAAATTTTAATCTTCTATTAAATCAAACCAAGCCATAACAGTTCAGGATAGTAACCATGGAAGGCGCGGGGTGGCGCGGTGGTGCAGTGGGTAGCACTGGTGCCTCACAGAAGAACTGGTCTGGGTTCGATCCCTCTGTGTGACGTTACCCCCCCCCCCCCCCCCAGAATCTATACAAGTAGAACCAGACTAGTTATAGTTGGATGAATCAACACGTTAACAAACAGTGATGTCATCGTAATGACTTCATCCATCTCATCACACACACTGAACCTTCAACATAAAACATGAGATAAATAAAACCTTGCTTCGTACTTTGTGGGTTAATTCCATGAAAAGCCTGAAACCACCGACGTGTTTTTCCGTGTTTTCGTCTCTGACCTCAGCGACTCTCCTGGTGTGATAAATAAAGCTGTGTACTTTTGAGGGGAATGTTTTCCGCGGTGGTTTAATCCACATTTGGTGTTTTTGGTTTGTGGCTACAGATCCACACGTGATGTTTGTTAAAGGGATTAATTCACTGCTGGTTCTGATCTGCATGAGGTGCGCTGACAGTAATAAAACATTTTTCCTGTAGCGAAGCAAAAACACAACAACAACCAGGCGTCCGTGTGTAAGCAGCGACTCCTCTGGCACCGTCAGCCCCCCGGCCCGGTTGATTAGCTCAGCATCAGTTACCACAGCGGCGGCTCCAGTATCACAGCGAGTGCCACTTGTTTTGGTGCCGCAGCAGCACCGAGGTGTGTGTGGGCGAGAGCCAGAGGAAGATTGAGGCAAAGATGGAGAGTGAGATGGATCGCTTGCGGTGGCGAGCAGGCGGGCGGGCGGCGAGCCAGGAGCTGGCTTATGTGTCGCTCAGTGGCAGGATGTGGGCATTGTTTTGGGCCGTGCAGGCTGTCGGGTTGGCGAGCTGCATTATTTAGTGAACATGAGTGGGCGAACAGAGGAGGGGGAGGAGGAGGAGGAGGAGGAGGAGGAGGGGGGGTGGTACAAGACTGCAAACACTCACATGCTGCTGCTAATGGGCAAGAGAGGAGAGAGGGAAACTGCTGAGCAAACTCACACACACACACACACACACACACACTTCCTGTTTGGTGTGTATCCATGGTAATTATCCAGCACAATGCAGTGAGTCTAATGCTGCTGTTGTTTGTGTTTGTCCCTGAACCTGACACTAAACTCACAACCACAAGCAGAAGCCACATGAGCCTGTGTAATTAGACGACATGTTTGCTGAACACACACATCATTCAAACACTGCAGGGCGTGTGTGTGTGTGTGTGTAGATGGATGGAGAGATGTACCATTGTGATACTGCGTGAACACACTGCCCCCGTGTGAAACACACAGAGGAGACACAGTCAGTACAACAAGCTGATTTATCTCCTCTGTCATCAGCAGCGAGTCTCTGAGGACGTCGCCTACATTCAGCTAAACATCATATTAATCAAGCAGCACAGTAAAGAGGGGCAGAGGGGGAGTAGTAGGTGGTTATCAAGGTGGGAACCTGCTGAGAGCTGACAGTACCTGTTGTTGTTGTTGTTGTTTTCTCAGGTGTGTGGAGAGAAAAGTCGATTTGAGAAGCTCATGGAGTTTTTCCGCAGCGAAGACAGCAACATCGACTTCATGGTAAAGATGGACATTTACAGATATTCACACAGGAAGTGGCCAAAAGTGTGTGGACAGCTAAACACTTAACACCTGTATATTAACTACGGTGGCCCTGAGGGATCAACACTCTGCAACTTAAGAAAACACACGCACAAAGTCAGAAAACAAAGTGACGGATCAGGACTGGATGTGTCCACATACATTTGGCCAAATATTTTGTCATCAACTCCTCTAACGAAGCTTCAACAACTGATCTATAACTACTAATCAATTTTTTTTATACATGGACAAATATAAACTGGCAGATTTTACCACGATCCGAACTCTAACCCTGACAGAACAGATCTTCACCTGATATTCAGAAAATGTCTCTATCGTTAAAAAAAAAGTTGGAGCGACAGAACAAAAGAGGCAGTGATTACAGTCATCAGTCGTTTCAATGAAGCTCTCAGACAGAGACATTAACAAAACGACCGTGTTCACTTTAATTAAACAGACTGTGTGTAATGATGTGGAATATGAAGGAGATCTGCAGCTACAAAAGACATGATGCTGCACAGGTGATCAGAAATCACAAGTAATACCAGATAATGATGTGATATAATCATAATCAATCAGCTGTGCATTTCTTCATTTAATCAATGACTCTAAAGAGTTTATGTTCTTATTACATCAGGTTATAATAATATCAAGAAAAAGCAGATAAATGTCACGTCTGAGAAGCAGCAGGTTTTGATTATTGTCACTGACTATTAATCTATTATCTAATATTTATTGATTAGGTTTCTGTTGTTGTTGTGACTTTATCAGAACCTACCAGAAGATGCAGTTTGAAGTTTTTCTCGTTTCCTGTCCTCAGTCTTGTCTTCCAGGTGCTTCATGTTTGGTGTAAAACGTTCCTTCTTCCTTCCTGCTGCTTGTGAACCTGAGTGTATTTACTGTGTGTGTCCACCAGGTGGCCTGTATGCAGTTCATCAACATCGTGGTTCACTCAGTAGAAAACATGAACTTCAGAGTCCACCTGCAGTATGAGTTCACTCGGCACGGCTTGGATGAATACCTGGAGGCAAGTCTCACCTGGGACATCCCACTCTGACCCCAGAGATCCGTGTTTCTTCATCTGCAGCTTACTAATGAGATTTTTAATTATTTTTTTTTCATGGGGGGGTGGGGTCAGAAGTTGAAGTTCACAGAGAGCGACCGGCTGCTGGTGCAGATTCAGGCCTACCTGGACAACGTGTTTGATGTTGGAGCTCTGCTGGAGGACGCAGAGACGAAGAACGCTCTGCTGGAGCACATGGAGGAGCTGCAGGAGCACAACACACAGGTGGATGTACAACCAGCTCAGATCAGACGTTCACGCGCTCTGCTGTGTCACAGAGTGGATTTTAAATGGAGAACAGGACCGTTCATCTTTACTGAATAACCTGTGATGAAACTGGGTTTTGCACATTTTTGAAAAGTTGCACATAAAGTTATAAAAGATATTTATACAGAAACAGAGGAAACGTCCTCACCTCTGTCAGGAAGCTGATTATTGAGGCCGTCTTCATGTCCATCATCATCTACAGACCTGCCTCCACTCACACTCTCTTTACTCACACTCTTTCTCTTCATCTGTAAATCGCTCAGTGGAAACTTACTGCAGATGTTCTCGCCATGTTCTCAGGATTAAATTTAGGCTGAATAAATGAATGAGTGAAGAGAGTCATCTCCATGTGTAATGAAAGCTGTGTGTTGATGTCTCAGCTGAGCAGCCGGCTGCAGGAGAGTGAGAGGGAGGCGATGGAGAAAGTGTCAGAGCTGGAGAAGAAGCTCATTCAGACCACGAAGGAGGTGGAGCTTCTGAAGGTGAGCTCTCCATCATCCTCTTCTTCTGGACTGTGCATGATTACTGTTTCCTCATGTGTGTGTGTGTGTGTGTGACAGGAGAGTCTACGTGAGTCGTGCTCCCAGGTGACTTTGCTGCAGCAGCGGGAACGAGAGAGAGAGCTCGAGCGTGAGAGAGAGAGAGAAAGAGAGAGAGACAGGGACCGGTCCACCGAGGCCCTCAGGGAGCTGGAGGCCAAAGTCCAGGCTCTGGTGGAGCGGGGCCTCGTCCGGATGGAGCGCTCCTCGTCTGGACGGCTGGACGTTCAGGTGGTGCAGGACGTCCAGGACTCGGTGACTCAGACAGGTCAGAGCCTGAGATCAGGTTTACAGAGTTAAGAGCAGACTGAAGTCCGTCCTGTCAGCTGAGACGCAGGCAGCAGTTCACCTGTGTCCTCCAGGTCCAGCTGTGTGTCTGGTTTAAAGAGAGACACGTTCAATGTTGAACGTTACACAGAGAGACACATTTGATTTTATTCCTGAGAATGAGGATGGGCGTGGCCTCAGGACCGACAGTTTACAGCCTCTGATCTTTGCTCCTGCAACGTTTTGTCCCTGTGATCGATTCAGGCTCCAGCATCAAAACCCACATCGTGTCCCACAGACTCTCTGCAGCTCCGTGAGATTTTAGTTTACGTTTTCACTTCACAGATACTAATACAGTCTGGTAAAGCAGCTGTGTCATGATGCATTCACGTACACCTCGGATGTTCCTGTTTCACCAATCAGGAATTCATTTCATTCTACACATTAGATGTCTGATTTCAGGCTGAGACACATGAGTTTGCACCTGTGGAAACGTTTCAGACTGAAGATAAAATCACAGTCGTGTTGTTTGTCTCGCAGCTCAAGACGAAGTGGACACAGGTGGCAACCCTGAGGCTCCTCCCACCTCCTCTGACTCACCGCCACATCTCTCTGAAGCTTTAGAGACGACACAAGCTGCTGCTGCTGCTCCTCCACCTCCTCCCCCACCACCACCACCTCCTCCTCCTCCTCCTCCTCCTCCTGGCCTGACCACAGCTCCTCCACCTCCTCCTCCACCTCTCCTGCTCCCTCCTGGAGGTGGTGGAGTGACGCAGCCACCAGGGGCTGATGGGAGCTCAGGTGAGTCGACCATCAGGTCAGAGAGAAATATTTTTTCTGTTTCGCATCATTGACGTTTCTTCACCGTTTCTTCCAGGTCGTAAAAACAAGACGCCGATTCAGACCAAGTACCGGATGCCTCTGTTCAACTGGCAGGCCCTCAAGTCCAACCAGGTGGTAGGAACCGTCTTCAGCGGGCTGGACGATGAGCACGTCCTACAGGTTTGTCCTGTTCCCAGGGTCTCTTCAAATCACCTTTAACCTCATTATAGCAACAGTTTTCTGCTCACAAACCTTCTGTGTCTTTACCTGAACTCTTCTATCAGGAGTTAAACATGGCCGCCTTCGAGGAGCAGTTTAAAACCAAGGCCCAGTCAGCCCCTGTGGACCCGGGGACCCTCAAGATGAAACTGGCCCACAAGACGCCCAGTAAAGTGTCTCTGATGGAGCCCAACCGGGCCAAAAACCTGGCCATCACGCTGCGTAAGGAGGGAATGGCTGCGTCTGACATCTGCTGCGCCATCGAGACGTACGCTCTCCACCTGAAGTCTTTTTTCTCTCTGTCTACATCGTC